CACACCTTCTCTAGGGTTGAATTCGAAGACAGATGATGTTTAAGTTTGGTTTTATCATGAGATGTCTTATTTTCTCCTTCAATTGTGATTGAAATTTTGCTGAGTTTTCTGGGTATAGTAGTCTGGGCTGGCATCTGTGGTCTCTGTAGCACATCTATTCAGGCCCTTTGGGCTTTTAAAGTCTTCATTGAGAAATCTGCTTTTATATGTTACTTTTTCTTTTTTCCCTTTTAACTTTTAATGTTCTTTATCTGTTCTGTACATTTAGTGTTTTGATTATTATGGACTGAGGGAACTTTCTTTTCTGGTCCAATCTATTTGATATTCTGCAAGCTTCTTGTACTTTGATAGGCATCTTCTTTAGGTTAGAGAAAATTTCTTCTATGGTTTGTTGAAAATATTTTCTGGGTCTTTGAGCTGGGTTTTTTTCTCCTTCTTCTCTTTTTATCATTCTTAGATTTGGTCTTTTCATATTGTTCCAAAATTCCTGGAAGCTTTATGCCAGGAGTTTTTTAGATGTAATATTTTCTTTGACCAAAGTATTCATTTCTTCTATCGTGTCTTTAATGCCTATGATTCTCTCTTCCATAGCTTGTATTTTGTTGATGAAGCTTTCCTCTGTCATTCCTGATCGAGTTCCTAAATTTTTATCTCCAGATTTCCCTTAGTTTGAGTTTTCTTTATTGATTCTATTTCCATTTTTAGGTTACTAACAGTTTTACTCATTTCCTTCCACTACTTGTGTATTCATAGATTTCATTAAGGTATTTATTTATTTCCTCTTTAAGGACTTATATCTTACTCATAATGACATTTCATTTATATTTTTTTTTATTTTTACTCATTTAAGGTTTTTTTTTTAAAGTTTTTTGAGACAGGGTTTCTCTGTGTAGCTTTGGTGCCTGTCCTGGAACTAGCTCTTGTAGACCAGGCTGGCCTCGAACTCACAGAGATCCGCCTGCCTTTGCCTCCTGAGTGCTGGGATTAAAGGCATGTGCCACCACACCTGGTCATTTAAGGTCTTTTTCTTGGGCTTCAGCTACGTTGGAATATTCAGGGACTGCTGTGTTAGGATTGCTGGGCTCTAGTGGAAACATATGGTTCTGTCTGTTATTGTTTGTGTTTTTACACTGGTGTCTCACCCTGGGACTGGGCTGAATTCAAATTTAGGTGCTGATATCCAGTCTTTCTTTGGTGGGTGGGTGTTTTGTTCCTTGGTTTCTGTTTTTCTCTGCGGCTCTTAGGAGAGTGTGGTCGCTGTGCATTGACTGGTATGAAATTAGTTTGCGGTTCTGATAGGTTTGGTCATAGGTGGTTCCAGGGAAAACATGTTTCTGGGTATTGGAAACTAACATTTAGGAGTGGGGATGGTCTGGGAAGGGGTTGAGAGGGTTCATCAGAGGGAGGAAAGCAGGGTGTTTCACCAGGGTCTGCTTAGTCCACTGGGAATGTGGTGGAGAATAAGGAGAGGCCAGAGCAGTGAGGAGAGGCCACAGTGGAAAGTCTGCTCCAGAGCTCTGGATGAGACTGGGGGATGGACTGGGAGGAATGGAGGGAGAGGTGAAGACCTGCGTCAGCATACCTGCTTTCCTGGTTAGAGTGGCCTGTGGGTTCCCAGGGGGTGCCTGCTGGAGCTGGAGGCTGGGACAAAGCAATGAGTGGGGGTAAGGAGTTTGGAGGGGAAGATAAGTGTCATCCCCTGGAGGGGTTGGGGGAAGGGAGGCTGCAGCAGGTGTTCTGTTGCCCAGCTGGAGAGGAGACTGAGAGTGGGGGCAGGGTGTTTAATTTGGAGGAACAGAGGGACAGGTGAAGACCTGCATTAGCCTACCTGCTTCCCAGGCTGGAGTAAAGCTGTATCCTTAGGGGAAAATTATGTGCTCAGTACAGATGCAACCACTGGGGTCTTACTACATTGTATGTATCCACAACAGCTGAGTTTTCTTTTCTTTTGTTTGGTTCTGCTGTTTTGAGACAAAGTCTCATTTGAGCATCCCCCCCACCCCCACCTTTCCTTTTCTCATCTCTCCCCCATCAAAGTGAATATTTTTTGATTTATATTTAATCAGATTCTCAAATGTTATACTTGTGGATATGGGGGAACCAACAGTATTCTGAGCAAGTAAATATATCAATCAAGCAATCAATCAATCAATCAATCCTTGCCAGGTATAGTGGCACAGACCTTCCGTGACCTTCCGTCACTGGAAGTCAGAAGCAAGAAGCAGCAGGAGTTTGGGGTCAGTTTGGGCTACATAGAGAATTCTAGGCTAGCCTGAACTGTACAATACTGTGTTTCTAAAATGAATCCTTGAGTAGATCATAGCACAGTATACTAAAGATTGGAAGGAGAGGAAAATAGAGGTCACTAGAAGGCTCTTCCCCTTGCAAGAACTATTTAAGGACCACTGACTCTGGTAAGGGAGAGTTAGGAATGGTGATGGTGGCATTAAATGAAGTCAAGGGTTTTAGGAAAACAGTGCTGGATGAGGGAGCGGATCATAGAAAAGGGCAGAAGCAGGGAAACAGTCCTGGGCAGTGTTGGAGGCAGCTCAGGGAAGCCCCCAGCGGAAGCTAACTGCTACTTCAGTAAAGAAGGGAGAGGTTGTACTTTGGTTACTTTTGGATTTATACAATTGTCAATGTCTTATGTTACTTCTTCTTAGAATATTGAAACACCCTATCACATTCATTTATCATGTATTTGTGGGGGCTGGAGAGATGGCTCAGAGGTTAAGAACACTGGCTGTTCTTCCAGAGGTCCTGAGTTCAATTCCCAGTAATCACATGACAGCTTTCAACCATCTATTATGAGATCTGGAGCCCTCTTCTGTCGTACAGGCAGAACATTGTATATATAGTAAATAAATAAAACCTTAAAAAACATGTATTTATTTGAACTGGTGGTGGCTCATGCAGAAAGATTGCATGATGTGGGATTTCCCTCTGTATGCTGTGATTACTGTTGATTAATAAAGAAACTGCTTTGAACCTATAGCAGGGCAGAATTTAGGTAGGGGGGAAAACTAAACTGAATACTAGGAGGAAGAAGGCAGAGTCAGAGAGAAGCTATATAGCCCTGCTGGAGACAGACACCACAACTTTACCTGGTAAGCCACAACCACGTGGTGATACACAGATTACTAGAAATGAGTTAAATTAATATGTAAGTGTTAGCCAGTAAGAAGTTAGAGCTAGGGGCTGGAGAAATGGCTCAGCGGTTAAGAGCACTGACTGCTCTTCCAGAGGACCCAGGTTCAATTCCCAGCACCCACATGGCAGCTCACAACTGTCTGAAAATCTGGTTCCAGGGGACCTGACACCTTCACACCAATGAACGTAAAATAAAATATAAATAAATCATAAAAATAAAAAAAGAAGTTAGAGCTAATGAGGCCAAGCAGTAATTTAATTAATACAAACGAACAAGCAACTCCTTCCAACAATTGCCACCAGTTCTAGGCCAGTCTGGGCCACACACATTTAGGCAAAACGCCCATACACATATAATACAATATTAAAAATTTAAGCAGACAAAATCAAAATATCTATTGAACAGCTACCATGTACCAGGTTCTGGGATGGCGAGCAGAAATAAGACAAACTGGGTCTCTGTACTCTCCATGTATTCTGGTTGGGAAGAGAAAGCTAACAACTGAATGAACGTATCGACTGATGGACAGTTCTTCAACTTTTGAAGATGATATATTCATGGTTTCATATTTCTCCAATTAAATGAAAGCCAGAAACAGGTTTGGACTTTTATTCGCCAGATTAACAAGCTGTCCATTACTGTGCTCTTGGCTTCTTCCTTCCTTCCTTCCTTCGATGTAGCCAGCAATTTATACACTCTGAAAATGGAGGCTGCCCAGACAGATACAAAGGTTTGGGGACTGAGGGATGGTCTACCCCCACGACTGTCATTGTATGTCACGGCCACAACATGTCTCTACTGACCACTAGTCAGTTTCCATCCAACCCTGCCGGCCTACTGGCCTCCTTTCCTGACATACTGCTTCTTTTAAGAGACATTGTTTGTTCTGTGGCACTGGAAAGTGTTTGCTCACTCATCCTGTTCTCTAGGGTGCAGTCCTAGAGTTGAGGGGTATATCTTTCAAACTCCTGAAATTCCTTGTCGTGAGAAAAAGAATTGTTGCCTTCAACAATATGAGAAGAGTCCATATCGGATGAATGCACTGTTTGGTTGAGAGACCCCAGTCCCCTGACACCCCTATATCCAAGAAGTCTGGGGTGTTTGCGTGAAAGCGTCACCCAGCCCCTGGCACCCATCCTTGGAGCGCCCATGGAGCAGGAATCGAGCAGGAATCTCCATTTCAAGCCCCTCCCCTGGGAGTTGCCTTAGTCCCGACTTGACCTCCAAGCAGTGACCTCTCCCCAGGGAGGGTCAGGACCACTCCCACAGGCTATTTAGGCTGCCCTCCAGAAAAAGAACACGTGGTCTCAGGTTTTTCATGGTCTCCCCAGCTCTCTTCCTCTTGTCATGCTTTCCTGGGTCACTGGGGAGCACTACATGAAACATGGGCATCTTTTATTCGGTGTAATTTGGTCTGATTGGAATTATTTGCATTGGCAGAGAGGCTCCTCTTAAGAAATATACCTAACACACACAAGGGTTTATTATTGCTGTTTTTAAGTTTTCCTTCAGAAAAAAAAAATCTCCCAAACCTCATTCACCCAAAAAAGAACAAGATGGGGTCATTTATGTAATTCTTCCTCACTCAGCCTCAGCCACTCAGCATTCATTTACTATTCGTTTGATAACAGAATCATGTTGGGGAATTTTGTTTTGTTTTGTTTTGTTTTTTATTTTTTGAGACAGGGTTTCTCTGCAGCTTTGAAACCTGTCCTGGAACTTACTCTGTAGACCAGGCTGGCCTCGAACTCACAGAGATCCACCTGCCTCTGCTTCCCAAGTGCTGGGATTAAATGTGTGCGCCACCACCGCCTGGCCATTTTTTTCTTTTTTGGACAGGATTCTACTGTCTACCACAGGCTGGCCTGAAACTGAAGATCTTCCTGCCTCTATCCCTTGAGTTCCAGGACTGTGTGCAAGCCATCATCTCTGGTGGAAGACTGTCTTATTCTCTGGTGCTGGGGATGGAATCCAGAACCTTGTGAAAGGTTGGTGCTCTATAATTGGTCTATACCTCCAGACCTTATTTGGGATATATAAATGATAATTTCTTCCTATTGGATATAATCTGTCAAGACTGTCAGTTGTGGTATTCTGGTCTCTAGTCAAAGATAGGCACATGCCCCAAGCAAGTTTAGATTAAGGTAGTACAACTCTAAATTCTAATGAGCATACAAATTACCTTGAAAACTGGGTGGTGGTGACACACGCCTTTAATCACAGCACTTGGGAGGCAGAGGCAGGAGGATCTCTGTGAGTTCAAGGCCAGCCTAGTCTACAAGAGCTAGTTCCAGGACAACTAGGGATGTTAAACAGAGAAACTCTGTCTCGGGAAACCAAAAAAAAAAAAAAACCTGTTGGGATCTTATTATACCATAGTTTCTGAGTCAGTGAGGCTTGGGAGCCTTTCAGCCTACTAAAGCTCCCAGGTAATCTTAATGCTGCTGGTCCACGGATCATCGCTTGAGTAAATTGGGAGTGAACAATAGCTAGTGTGCCTTCATCTAACCACAGCAACCCAAAACCCACATTCTTCAGGCTTCCCTTTCATTCTGTAAACTTTGTGTGTGTGTGTGTGTGTGTGTGTGTGTGTGTGTGTATGCGTGTGTGCATACACATGTGTGCGTATATGTCTGTCTTTCAAAACACGAAATAGACATGTTTAGTGGCTCACATCTATAATCCAACTACATGGGAGATGGTGGCAAATTGCTGGAAGTTCAAAGTCGTTCTAGTCTAGTATTGCATTTCAGACCAGCCTGGGCTACAGAGTGAGACCCTATCTCAACCACAAGCACTTGAACCAGGTGCGGTGGTGGATGCCTTTATTCCCAGAACTTGGGAGACAGAAGCCTGTCTCGAAAAACCAGACCAACACTTGATAGCACATTCCTCCCAATGATTGGTAGAAGCAGAACGATCAGGAACTGAAGGGTTTCCTTGACTACGCAACAGGTTTAAGATCAGATTGGGCTACATAAGACCACACCAATTATTGTTGTTCAAGTTACTGGAAGGCCATGTTCAAAACATTAAAAATGCAGTAGTTTACCAAAGTCTTGAGGGAGATGTATTTAAGAGGTGATCAGAGTTTTTCTTCTTTCTTTCTTTCTTTCTTTCTTTCTTTCTTTCTTTCTTTCTTTC